TGTGGTAATTTTCTATATTACCTTCGCCTCACTGATATCGACGATTTTGGTACCGTTGGATTCCTCCACAATCCAAATATGCAGGTTTTATTGCGCGGAAACCCTCCGTTAGCGGCAAACTTGGGCACTATATCGGGGGCGACGATGTCGGAGCGGCGGTCGAAGCAGCGGACGTAATATAGTAATTTTGACGATTTTGGTATCGTTGGATTCCTCTCACTCTGTACAATCCAAATATGTAGGTTTTATTGCGCGAAAACCCCTTGTTACCGGAAAACTTGGGCACTATATCGGGGGCGACGTTGTCGGAGCGGCGGACGTAGTATAGAAAATTACCCTAATAATTAAACCACAGTGAAAATATCCATGGTTATTCAGATGACTTTCCATTGCAGGGGGCTGCGCCCCCTGCGACCCCCCTTGGGGGGGGCTGCCGCCCCCCAACCCCCGCCGAGGAAACAAAATCTCCACCACGTATTCACGGCAGGATAGAGCGCACACGTTCTTCACCACACACTGTCATCGCGGCGGCCATGGCGAAGTACTGAATGCGACGGTTATTTCGGTTAGGATTTCGAAAATCGTGGTTCCAGGGGACGGGAAACTCAACCTTGAGGCCATCGGCGTAACATCGAGAGAGGCGCAAAACCCGCCGACGAGGGCGCTCTTCTGTTCATGGTATACTCTGTTCATCCTGATTATACTACAATCATGTGTATACAATGCTGACTATGTCAAGGGTAGTATGCTGATTCAGTGGGAATGTTACGAGGTAAATGTTTCAAGTTTCTCGCTAACGGGGGGTTTCCGCGCGATAAGACCTACATATTTGGAATGTGGATAGTGAGAGGAATCCAACGATACCAAAATCGTCGATATCGGTGAGGCGAAGGTAATATAGAAAATTACCGGAAATATCTCACGACTACTACTATCGTGAAAACCTTTCTCGACCTGTTTTTATCAGTAAGGCAAAATCAAAGGGAAATGCAGATCGCACAGCCCGACGCCTGCGTTCTCAGTTACGCAGGCTTCCGAGCGAAGCTTTAAAGTGCAAGTTTTGAGGAAGTGCGCGCTGCTACTTGACAGCGCTATAGACTTATGTTGCATTTTTCTAGAAATGCTGTTTAAATTTCATTTTCTGTCGCTAAGTTGGCATAATATTACCAGGACCGACATCAGTATGTGGGAACTGCTTTGCGAGCAGCGGAGGTGGGCATTCGGGTGGCCACCGATGGCGCGCTCCCTCTGGCGAAGCCCCTTCTGCACCCTCTTGTGAACCGCGTCGGAGGCTGGGGCGCCCTGGAGGAGTGGGCGTGTCGAGGTCTGGATCGTGTCGAGGAGGCAGCGCCCATCATCACCAAGCCGACGGATGAGGTACGAGTGTAGTAAGAATACGTTTGTGCATATACAATTGGCTAAAGGTGCTGTCACACTGTCACTTTTCCGTAATTTTTTTAACAAATTTATTTTACATAAATACATACCTTTCTTAATACAGCTCTTGAATTGAGTATGCTTGGCTGAAAAAGTTGACGGAAAAGTTTTCAGACGGAAACGATCACTATCGTCTGACTGGAAAATCGACAATTCGCTCAAAAATTGACAAAATTTTCGAAAATTGTAAAAAAAAATTGAGGGAAAAGTGCTAGTGTGACAGCAGCTTAAGGGAGAACGAGGAAGTCGGGCGCTCGGAGGGGCTGAGCAATTAGTACGCCTGGCAGGAAGCCTTAATAGACCGCTGTTACCGCAGATGGCACCCTCGGGGCACAATATTTGAAACTGGTTCTGAGTAAAATCTCTGGGGTAGGCATAGAAAGCACCAAATTCCAAATTATAGTAGGTTCACCTGTTCAGGTAAAGTTGTTAAGCCTTGTTATAGTGACAATTCGTCGTTTCGTGGAAGACACCACCATTTCCTGTGGTTTATATTTTTTTTTAATCGCTGCATTGTTAGGCTTGCGTGTGTATACGGTTTAGTGTTGTTTAAGTGCCCATATATCATTACAGGTCGTGAGTTTAAAGTCGAATTATAACAAATTTTATGATATCTCAAGATGCCAAAGACCCTTTTATATTGCTTGCTGAAGAAGCGACAGACGGAAGAGGCCTCGGGCATATTAGCGTGCCTTCTACTTCTCCAGCAGATGTAAACAGGTCATGCCAGTTAATGGACTGTATTTAGGTCATGCCATTGGTAATATAGAAAAGGGGGAGTAGTCCCTCTCCCTCTCTCCGTCCTCTGCTCTGTCTGTCTCTCTCCGTCTCTGCCTCTGTCTGTCTCTCTCCGTCTCTGCTCTGTCTGTCTCTCTGTCTCATGTCTCTCTCCGTCTCTGCTCTCTGTCTGTCTCTCTCCGTCTCTGCCTCTGTCTGTCTCTCTCGTCTCTGTCTCTGTCTGTCTCTCTCTCTGTCTCTGCCTCTGTCTGTCTCTATGTCTCTGTCTCTGCTCTGTCGTCTCTCCGTCTCTGCTCTCTGTCTCTCTCCGTCTCTGAGTCTGTCT